AGATCATTACATTGAAATTTTGGATCCGTGGCCAGGCAACTCCCCGGATCTCAATTCAATAGAGGACCTGTAGTCAGTCCTCAAAAGGCGAGTGGACAAGCAGAAGCCCACAAATTGTGATCAACACCGAAAACTAATAAGGCAAGAATGGATCACCACCAGTCAGGATTTGGCCCAGAAGCGTATTGCAGAGGTTATGAAGAACAAGGGTCAACACTGTAAATATTGACTCGTATGTTTTTGCTAATAAAAGCCTTTGCAACTTTGATATGCTTATCATTGTGATATGCTTACTTATATGTTGCTTATCATTGTTTTTCAGTATACCATAGTCATGTGGAAAAATAATCTACAAATACTGAAGCAGCAAACTTTGCAAAACACAAAATTTGTCATGGCCAAAACTTTTGGCCATGACTGTACATTACCATTCCTCTGCAATTTTCATTAGTCATGAAGCTCACAACACTGCTTTGTTAGAACTAAGAAATCGCATTGCTCAGGTTGCTAATTTCACAGGAGACTTGATTGAGTTCTTAATTATGTTTCATTTAAGTGTCAATTCCTAAAATTTGTTTAAAGGAATTAGGGGTGTGCGATTATCTATCATCTGCAATAATATCGTAATTGTTGTTTTAACGATGTGCGATTTGACATTATCGAGTGTTTTGCAAAACCCATTCAAAACACACTGACAGAGTTGCACGCTTACATTACGTGAAGTCTAGACTAGAGTGCGCGCATTTAGTGTGTGTGTGTGTTCTTTCACTGCATGATTCGGTCTAATAAAATGCATTTAGAACGATCACCAAATTCAAGATATGGTGACAGAAAGTGTATATATTTATATCATTTCCTATAGTTAATCAATATCACACAAAGAGTGTCGTTTCTTTATCCAAAAATTATTACAAACGTAGCTTTTTTTTAAATTTATTATTTTTTTATTTTTTTTACAACCGTTCAAAAAACAGGAAGTTAATTAAGAAACGTATGTTTTTGCTCTATTTCGACAACAAAAATAGTTCACAACACAGCCACATCACTGTTTTTCGTCTCTGAGGAACATGAATCATCCATTTAAATGATTCGGTTCAGTCGCAGGGACTCACTTATTAACAGTGACTTGCTGCCACCTACTGGCGGTTTTAATTTCACATTTAAAGTTTATTTTTATTAAATAATTTCAAATAACAGTATTCAACGTTTTATGTTTAATATATCAAAACATTATTCATGCATTTGTAATTGCAGGTTAAATGCATTCATGTTCTGCAATAAACAGTGTGTAAATACATCTAAATGCCACTTCAGATGCAGCTTCTGTGCTTCCTCTGCATTGCAAAGATGAATTTTGATACGGATTTAATTAGCTTGGTAAGAGCCCAAATGTCTTAATATTCTAATTCACTGATTAAATGTAAGAATTTGACTCGAAAGATAATGGACACTTTTAGAAAAATGGCTTTATAAAGGTAAAAATGCCCATAAAAGGTAAAAATCTATTTAAACGTATTGGAAAAGATTAATTTCTATCACTGCTTGAACTGACCGCCACACAGAATATGAATATCAAAAACATTAAGAGTCAGCTGTCCACGGCAGTCCTTAAGATATAAGCACAATAACACACTCAGCAAAATATCATCTAATTATCGTTATCGATTAAAATTCAAGAAAATATCGAGATATGTCTTGTCAATATCGCACACCCCTAAAAGTAATATGAATTGACATAGATGAGAATTATATACACATAGCATCACACAAGCAAGTCTTGATATTATTAATATGGAGTAACTTGCATTTGGCCAGGTAGTACATATATTTCTTCTTTGCCAATGAAATTAGTTCCAAAACATCAAACTTTTTTTCACCAAGCTGCACAAACTGAAAGCTGCACTGGAACAGACTCATTCCATTATTTTCTTCACTATGGAGCGCGGCAGTGACCAACCACTGGCCTTGGTTCCCAAAGTAGTTTTTTTCTTTAATTTTTTTCCATAGATTTTAAAAAAATTGTGAAGCTAAAATTTAAAATAAAGAAATAAAAAACAAAATGCAACAATTTGCTTAAATTGAGTTATGACAACTTCTAATGAAATTGTTCAACCAACAAATTACATTGAGTTAGAGCAACCTAATAATTTGTCACACAAACACATTTCTAAGTTGATTACTCAAAAAATAAATAAATTAAAATAAAATGGATTTGTAAACCTGGAACCAATTTTAGTTCAAATCCACAGCTATAATAGCACATGCTCAATCTAACTTATTTAGCAAGATGTTAAGTAAGATGTTAATTGCGCTCTGGCATTATAGAAAAATATTTGCCTGTAGTGTCAATGTAGTGTTTACCTTAATGTGGTCTGCTTTGCAGCACAATGGTAACCATAAAAACTTCAACATTACAGAAACTCTTACAAATGTCAAACATTACAGCATTAAACACTAACGGGTCTTTTCCTCCACGAAGACACACACACACACACACACACATACACATAAAATAACACTTAATTTCAACATTTACTCTCCTTATCCAATCCTAAGCAAAGCATGCTGGGATCTAGAAATCCACTACCCAATTTCCAAAGTTAACAAGACAATTTGAGTTACTACAACTTAATTTTTGAAGAAATTCAAGCAACGCAGAAATTTGAGTTTGCATTATACATTTATATTAAGTTGATGTAATAATCAATATTATGTCAACATAACTCATCAAAATAATGTTGGCAACTTAAAAGGTTTAATTAAAATATGAATTAAGAATTTTTAACTTGCAACCTTTTATTTAATTTGTGGCAACAGGTCCCCTGAATAATTTTTACAGTGTAACATTTAAGAATGATATTTATGGATGTTACTCATAAATACAAGACCAAGAAGAAATGGAATCAATAGAATGCTTAATATTAAAGAGGAACAAGAAACCGTGAGTGCTCATTTATCTGCCACAAAAGCACAAGCGCTAGTCTATCTGGGTTCACAAAACCATTCAGGCTCAGAGTCAACATGGCAAGTACCACCGTATGTAAAGAGAGACATATGATGACTGCTAAAATGAACCTCCATCTTGCTTCGACACTCCACTACAGGATGTATAGGCCTAGTTGACAGATCATGTGCACTCCACTGACTTCACTCCTATTGGTTGTCGCTCCCGAAAGTTGCTCTTCATTTGCATAAAGTTAAACATCTCTCAACTTGGTCCCGGCACAGGACACACCTACATCCTGTCACCAACAGCCCCTGTTGTGTCG